CCGAGTGGAAATAAAAAAATTCCCGTAAAAACGATTTTAATTTTAATTATACAACAGAGGTCATTAATATATTTTTATATATATATATATATATATAAAAAAAAAAAAGGCTGTACGCGCAGAGGGCGCTGGGGTAATTCCGTAGCGAAGTGCCGAGTGGCGGTGCCGAAGCCCCGCACCGTCCCGCCCCGCCCGCGCAGGTTGGGGGGCACCGCGGGCCTCCCTCCCTTGCGGTGGGCAGCGCTCCCGCCGCGCCGGGGAGCCCCGCCGGCTGCCGCACCCCCGGGGAGCGGGGAATCCCCCACGCAGGCTCCTGCCGGACAGGGACTTGCTTTTGTTTGTCATTATTCTCATTATTTTCTCTGCGAAGAAGCAGGCGGTTTCACGCGGTGATATAAAGTTGGATCGCCAATAACCGGAAGTTAAAATGCAAACGCTTCACTAGGAAGCGTTTCACGCAGCTGGTGCAAAATCACTTTTATTTTTTATCTGCGGGAAGGAAAAACAGTTTTATGATTTTTTTTTCCTGTGAGATAGCACTGTCATCAAAATACAGATGCTTTTCCTACATCAATGATTTTTCACTACAGCCTAAGGGCCTCTTGGCTTTAAAGCTCTAGTTATTTTTGCTAATATATCAAGAATTTAACTCCTAACTATTTCATAAATCAACTCCAGATGCACTGTACAGTATTTATATACTTATTTTCAGATGTACATTCTGACTCAGTAGATTGCCAACTCACCATTTCAATGCTTCAAAGCGATGATGCTGGGAATTGTCAGCTCTGAAGACAAGGTTAGCTCACAGGAGCAGAATGTACTGTGTAAAATGCTGATTTATGAAAGTGTTACAATCCATATATCTTGCAGGTCGAATTGCATGCATTATATGATCAGAAATACACGGAAGATTGATCTGCCAGTGCTTATTTTAAAGCAGAATTCATGTTGTCTCCAAAGGTGAGGGTGCCAGTGATGTACTGGGGCAGAAGCTAGAAGGTGCATCTTTCAACCCACCCCAGCCTGGAGAAGCTGTGGCAAAGCACTCCTGTACCCTGTGATAACAAACCCCCGTAGCCTAACCCTCACCCCAGCATTGCTGGGAGCAGTGAGCACCCTGCCCTGCCCAGGATGAAAAATATCTCCGGTGAGCCAATAGATGCCCTACTCATTTTTAAAAATCTTTTCTCACTTTGATGGGCTCCTGACCAGCAGATGACACATCCTCAGGCCTATGAGCTGCTGAGGGTGTTGCTTTCCCATAAACAGTTGCTCTCTGAGAAGCCTCAGTAGCCTCTGCAGCCAGGGGGACTCTGGGGGGCTCTGGCAGGCTCCATTTTGCCATCCTCCTGCCAGCCTGTGGGTAGTCTTTCCTATTGTAGGTAGGCCTGTGGTGCTCATATGAAGGTGATATCCAGCTCCAAGTTTGCAGTTAATCAAGTCTACTCGGTGAAGTTGAACAATTTAATCAGTGCGTGATGAAGCCTTGGATGTATCTGAGCTGTATCACGTTATCTTCACATCTAAAGCAATCCTCAGAGATTAGATGGGGGGAACTAACGACACAGTGGTAGTTCCTGCCCTGATCCTGTGCAGTCACATCACAGTACAGCAGTGTGAGCACAGCAGCCTGTTCTGTGTGTGGTCATTGCACGGCCAAGGCCGTGGTAAGTCTCCTATTCCCGGGACGCTGTCATGCTGTTTAGTAACCAGATTACAGCTTGGGTACACATTACTTAGCAACCCTTGCCAGGAATGCTTTTCGTCTGCCTGGTGAGAAGGCTGGGACTCTTCCTTCAGGGGCACTATCAGATAAGTGTCCTGTCGCTTGTGCGCAGAGTTTTTGTGATACGGTGGCAGGGCGATGGGAGCTGAAGGCCACTTAGATGTGGCACCGAATGGCACTGTGTGACTTGGCCCTGTTTCTTGCAGAAAACACATTCCACCCATGTTTCATGCCCTGTCCAGCCTGCTGCTTCATCTCCAGGTGCAGAGGAAGGAGGTTGTTTTTGGCTAAGGTGCTACTGTCTTGGGACCTGGTTATTTTATATAGTTTCTTTCCAGTTCCAGGTTAGTACAACGATTTTGATGAGCTGATGTACAGAAAATGGTATCCCTGTCCTGTCTGATGTCTTCTTGGTCAAGTCCAGTCTGTGTTTATTGCTTCTTAAATGGTAGCTGGATTTGCTGGGTTTACAGATCTTCCCTGGGGTGACAGCGCTGATTGTCCATGCAGATATGGACAAATAGAGTTGAAGTTATTTACTTTGTGAATAATATAATAATTTTTTTCTGAGTACCAGTTCGATTAAATAGTTTGGTTTGGGGTTTTGGCTGTTTTATTTGTTTGTTTGTTTGTTTGTTTTTTAATGAGTATAATGGTGCTGAAAATGTAAAAAGTAAATAATTAGACTTACAAAATAGGCCATTTATTTATTTATGGTGGTCTAATTGAAGGTGTTCCCCTTGTTAGTGTTAAAGTAGAATAATCTTCTTATTGTACAGGCAGCTTTAGAAGTAAGAAAGTACTTTAAACTAGTAGAAGATTTTTCACACCTGCTGTCTTTATGAAGCGCCGTCTTGCTTTTCCGCTGGTCTGACACATGGCTGCAAACCTGGCTCGATCGGGAGTCTCCATGTCCACCTACGCTGGAAGGCACATCCGGACGGCCGGAGGCGTTGCCGCCTGCCGGCGGTGATGGCACAGCCCCGCTTGTGCGGCAGCTCCAGGCCTTGCCAGGGCACGTCAGTATTTCTTGTCCCTCGCTTTCGGGGTGTCTTCCCGGTGTGGGGAACCCCCAAAGCCGGCCAAACCCTCCCGCGGGCGAGGAGCGCACCCCGCGCCGGCGGGGCGGTGCGGGGCGGTGAGGGGCGCCGGGCTCAGCGCCGCCGGGAGCTGCTGAAGTGAGAACTTGAAAGGAGCCGTCGGTGGCGAGGAGAGGCGGACAAAGCAAGCGCCGGGCTACCGAACGCGGCGCTCTGCCGGCGAGTTTTAAGGCGCTTCAAGTCTAAAGGAGAAGTGACAGGGCAATCATCTCCCCGGCTTGGCTGCGGATGGGAGGGTGGAATCTTGCTAACAGCTCGCGTATCTGTATGTTTAATTGCGACCTGGCTGCATGTTCCTGTTGAGGAAGGATGCAGATCACAAGCGAATCTATAAAAACGCAGTTGACAAGCCAAGGAAAGGGATAACTGACAGATGAAACGACAGTCAGTGCGGAGCTAACTGGCAAACGCATCGGTACAAAGTCAGATACCTTCTGAGAGGAGTAGTAGTTTGTTTTATTCCGGTTCTCCAGAGTTTTATCTACTGTCGGTGTGATGGGGTAGAGAGGAGCTAATGTGCCCTGTTTAGGATACACACATGCAGATTAGATCAGGCTTCAGACACCATGTTTCACTCAAGACTTAGAACAGTTAGAGGAATAAACCAGGCTTCACCCACCTAGGAAAACATGGAATTTTCTTTTAATGATTTAAAGGTGATTTACACTTGTTTACACAACCGTTTCACATACGGATATAGGGAGCTATCGGGAGTTGATAGGGTCGGGAGCTGGGGCCCGGAGCTCGCCGCCACCGTTATGCGAGGCTGGGGCGCTGGGAATACCAGCGTTTTCTTCACTTTTGTGTTACTTTAAGTTTTCAATGAGGCTAGTGTAATTACGAGGCGTTTAACTTTTTGCCAGGCTCTTTCATTATGGCTTTGCATTTGCACCTCGCTTTTAAGAGAAGTAATAACATTCACAGTCAGGGGCAAATCCTGTTAATGAACAAATTAAAGTTCAAACAGTTATTCAAGTTCACAGCCCCACTCGCTGCTCCTTTAATAAGAGTTATACATGTTACTTTCTCTCGGGATCACTCCCCCTTTTATTACTTTTTAAGCTTTTCATAAGCACTAGCGAGCTATACGGGCAGCTCCCAGCCTCTAAAGAGCCCACAAATCCTGAAGGGAGCCCTAATCCGACCTTAATTTGGCAACTTTTGTAAAAGACATAAAAGCTCGGGTGCCACCCTTGTGCGCTCAGATTATAATGTCAGGGGACAAGCCGGGGGAAGGCTCCCTCTATCCCGCACCCACCTATTTGAGTTGGCTCCCTCCCTTCCGGAGCTGTTCAAAAAGCCTCCGTTAGTCCCTCACGGGTATCAGAAGAGAAGTAAGGAAGTCTGATTGATATCCTGGGAATTTCCACCCCCTCTCACGATAGCTTTACTTGGCTGCGCTGGGCGCGGGCTGCCGGAGCGGGCCGGTCCTCCCAGCACGTCCGGCACCGCTGCCCTTGGGCCGGAGCCCGTTGCCTGCCTTCGAGTTAGCAACGTGGAGTTAAAAACAAAACAAAACAACCCCCCCGAAAATATAAATCCTTGCGCTCTTCTTCTCTTCCCGCCCCTCTTCTTTTTCTCCAAACCTTGCGCGATTAGAGTGTCTGCGCTCACCTCGGCATTTGCATAACATGAATCTAAATTCCCCTTGTCAGGGGCTGCCCGAGCCCGGGGGAGCCGCGGGTCCCGGTGAGACCGGGCGGGGAGCGGGGTGGCCTCCCCGCAGAGCCGGGCTCCGGGCCGGGGGGCGGCGGGCAGAGTCCAACAAAGCCCGGGGAGTTTGACACTGGTTCACGGCAGCGCCGGTGCAAAAGCGCCGTCTATGTACAAATAAAGGAGATCACACTCCCCATTATCTACCTCCTGGCGAGTGTTTGATTTGTGACATCAAAAGCTTATCAAGGCAAGCTCACCAAAAAAAAAAAAAAAAAAAAAAAAAGGGGGAAAAAAAAGGCACCTCTTCATGGAGGGAGATCGCTGCGGTTTGGGTTGGGTGATGTGGGGGAAGGAGGAGGGGACCGGTACTGACAAAACGCCGCCGGTGCCAGGGAGGCGATTTCTGCCCCGCCCGTGTCCCCGCAGGCCGAGCGGCGGGGCTGGTGCGGGGCCGGCCGCGGTTGCGGGGCGCTGCCGCGGGCGCGCAGAGCAGCGGACGGGCGGGCTGGCCCCGGCGGAGGGCTGGAGGGAGGCCCTGATTCTTCGCAGCCATCCACACAGAAGTGGTTTGATATAATCACCATGACAACTGCCGCCTATAAGCATACAAATAATAGAGATGAAATAGACAAAAGATTAGCATGCCATGAAAAGTACAATAAGTTTCTTATTTAGCATTTAGATAACTGTCTTTCCTTCGGAGCAGGCTTCAAAGTTGAACCCAGTTTAGACCAAGAGGATTAATTCTTTCTTCCGCATGCTTCATTGAATCTCTCATTACCAAACTTTGTCTGTATTGATGTAAGATTTGATTGAAGATTAGAGCATTTAGCAAATCTTGCTTTTCTGCATGTATCAGGCCTTTTCAAGCGCAGACCGTGCTGCCCAGTGGTCAATACCCTTACTTTTATCCAGTGTCTGCTTCATTTAAACTTAATCAACTCCCTCAATGAACTGGAACAGGGAAACGTCCCTGAGGTAAGAATGTTGTGCTGTTCTTAGATAATTCTTTGCTCCCTCTCCGAATCCGCTGGCGTTAAACCTAAAATTGCTCTCTGATGAACTTAATCAATATGATAATGACAATTGAGGCTGAATGGCTCGGCCTGGGCTCGGCACGGAAAAGGTAGATGGCTGTGCCCATAGCCTAAAAGCAACTTCTCCTTTCTCGTCTCTTCTTTTGTGTGCACTGCTCCCACCTTTCTTTCTCTCTCTCTCCCCCTCTTCCCCCCCTCCGTGACACCGACCGCTGCTCACGCTGGAGAATGATGCTTCTTTGTGCGGCAGGAGGACTCGTATGTCACCGCCCGGAGGAGCGGAGCGGAGCGATTGGCCGGGTGAATTATCTGCCTTGTTGCAGTGAATTATTTGCACTGTTTCCTTTCCCAGTCAACAAGTTTCTGAGGTATAGCGCAGATCAATCAAAGCTGACAGAGCGCATGTGAAGCTTTTACTGTGTAAATCTGGACCTCTTGTCCCGGCTTCGTTGGCACTGGCATCTGTATATCATTTTTATACTGCTACCAGTAGAGCAATTTCAAAAGTATTTGCAAGGAAAATGGATGTCCCCATCTGTTCCTGGAATCATAAATGTGCCACTTTCGGAGGGTTTTCACTGGTAATCATATCTTTAATGATGAACAAACTTGTGATATATACCTTTCCATAAAATGGGGTTTTCTTCACTTTATTGTGATTGGCTGGGATAAATAGCTTTTCCATATGTTAGGAAGATAAAACATAAGATTACCAGACCTCGTTTGTTTGATCATAAACAAAAGAAACAATTCGCTCCAAACACTCTTTAAACAGAAACAACTGCAGAATTAAATTGTATTAACAAGCTATCGATGGGTCATGAGGCAAGCAACTGTCTCCGTGGAAAAGACAGCTGGTTTAAAATACGAGTAGTCGGTCCTTCTCGCTATTCGGGTGACCGTAATGCAGACGTGGATTTTAAATACTTGATGCTAATTTTAATTTTGTTTTTCTTTATATGTCTTTATCTCCATATTTTTTTCTCCAGCTTGACTTTGAATTTCCTTAAGTGCCAGAACGAGGATGCGGTGCTGGGTAGTGCATTGCCGTGTGCTATATTTAGAATGCAGCTGGAAGAGAAAATGTCCTCAGGAATCCGGACTGTTTTGTTGTAAATGTCCCTCCAGTCCCAGCACTGTAAACGTAAACGCTCGTTCTATAGACGTGTCAGCGCTTGGCGCTGCCTGGGAGAGCTGGGTAAGGATGGGTTCGGGGAGCCACTGCTGACTCCACGGCACTGCCCAG